AAAAAAAAAAAAAAAGTAGTTATCAGGTTGCCCTGCCCTCTGGAGGAATCCGCCCTGTGGAGCTGAGTTTTTGGGGTTTTTTTTTTGTTTTTTTTTTTTTCCAGAACCGGGGATTGAACTCCGGTCCTTGCGCTCGCCAGGGAAGCGCTTATTCTACTGAGCTATCTCCCTGGCTGTGGAGCTGAGTTGAGGAAACTGTATGGAGATTTTATAGTAGGTTCAAATACTGTCTTTTTTTTTTTTTTTTTTTTAAAGCTAATTAGGGCTTTCTATAACTCACCAAGAATTATGTTTATATTTTTTAAGTAATAATGTATTTTCTGCTTTACATTGGGCTTAAAATATTAACTAATTTTGTGGAGGGAAGATACTGGATTATTATCCTTTTATGTCTGTTTGTCATTTGTTGGGAATCTTGCATGATAGCACTATACCAGCGGCACTGTTTATTTGTCATTTTTTGGAATGTGTTCTCCATTCCCCTTTTTACTCAGGCTGGGTGGGTTTTGTCCTCAGTGTAAACAGTTCCTGATCTGACTGACTTTGGACCATCTGGTTGTGTTCCTGAAAGTCAGCTACTGTACGCCCATCTTGGCTGCAGTGAAAGGTCTTCTCGTCCAGGCCAGAGCAAGAAGCAAGCATCTCCGACTAACAGGGGGCCATTTGGTTCTGGAGGACAGCTGCTGTTGTGTCCTGCTTTGAGTTCTGGAGGCAATTGAGTATTTTAACATTCCTTTCTAAATTTCTCTGCTCCTTCAGTGTTAAGGTCTGGAGTTGAAAGACTGTCTCTACATAAACGAAAAAGTCTATGCCAAACACATATCCAATTAGGCAATGATCATTTTATTAGCATGTCAGCAACTATGTGTTACACTTTGCTTTTTGTAAGTGTAAAAGCACAGCAAAGCCACTTGTGGTCAGGAACTGTGGTTTTATGGGACAGGGTTGTATACTCATGCAGGAGGTGTTTTGGACAATTACATTTAAAATTAAAGATAAGTGAGAAATGTGTGCCTCTAGTAACTCACTGATTGGAAATTGCAGCGATTTCACAATGTAAATATTTATTTTGTGTATTTTTTATTCAAATGGAACTTAATTTAATGATGTCAATAAAAGTTTTCTCAAAGCAAATCCTTTTTTTTTTTTTTTTGGTGGAGCCAGGGATTGAACTCAGTCCCTTGTGCTTGCCAGGGAAGCACTTATTCCACTGAGCCATCTCCCCAGCCCCTTCAAAGCAAATTCTTTTCAAGGAAACTGATTTTTAAATTTCTCATTTTGTCTCAAGAGCTTAATGACTAAATTGAGACACTGAAATCTTACCTCTTAACCACAGTGACAATCACCCTGGTGATTCCAGGTGTTGAAATCCAGGTGTGAATTTCATAAGAGACATAAGCGACTTATAATGCCTGCAGCCTTTGAAAGCTAAAAAATCAAAACTAGGTGAGTATTTTGAGGCACTAGTTTTTAAGATTTTTAGAACTTACTTCATTTTTATAATTAACTAGGATGTAACGTGAATTTTAAAATCATGCTTATTGTCTGCTAAGCCTTTTTTGTTACTCCTTGTGAGATTTTCCGATTAACAATAATATTTAGGGGATACATGAAGCTGTGGAGCCACCACTGGGCCTGGAGTCTTGCTTTGCTTTGAGCTCACTATGTTTCTTCTGTAAAATTAGAGCCAATAACTTGGCCCCTTTGCATCGCTGGATTCTCTAAGCGCTTTCCGTGTGGCAGGAGTCCCATGTAATTCAAAGTCCTGAAGTTTTGGTAATGGTTATAGTTCAGATCTAAAATGTCCCCCAAAGGCTCATGTGTGGAAAGTGAGTGGGTCCTGGCCTCCTGACCTAGAAGGCTCTGGCTCCCTCCCCGGCTCCTCCTCTTTCTCCCTCTCTGCTTCCAGGCTCCAATGGCCTGAGCACTTGCCCTCCATCAGCCCCTGTGCCATGCAGTTTTAGCTTGGGGACAGCTAGCCACAGGCTGAAACTGAGTGAAAGGAAGCTCCTCCTCCTTGAAATTGTGGGTGTTGGACGTTTTGTCCCAGTGGTGAGAAGATAACTAAGATAGTGCCTGTTGACAGTTCCTCTTGTCATCTGAAGCACCCTGGCCCTGGGAGCGCGACCTCAGGGACTGTGTCCCCGCCGTGGGCCCTGGGTCTGCCTCTGTACCAGGAGCAGATAGATGGCTCCCTTTTGGGGGGCTGAAAATGGAAACCTGCCCATAAGGGTCAAGATTCAGGTTGGCCTTCCGCTGGCCAGAAGGGAAGCATTTTATCAACACAGAAACCTCAGGTAAGTGGGTTTGTAGCTATCAATTCTGATATTTTAGGATTTGCATTTTGTGCTACAATCATTTTATAAATAGGTTTGGGTGTTGTGGATGACATATTTTCTTTAAACAATTCAAATGCTGTGTTCTTTTATTTTAATAAAGCTTTAAAATCTCTAACACATTTTGAATTTTAATCTTGTCTCAGCACACTATTTTCAAATTAAATTAATAATGGAAATGTGCAAGTATATGAATTAGATGAGAAAAAGATAAAACTCATCACTTGTCAATGCCCTATCTACAGAGCAAGCCTAATTGAACCTACAAGTTCTGAAAACTTATTAAAGGATTCTGTGAGGCCATTGGATGTTATAATCATTACTATTAATAATCACCTAGAAAATATAATAGAAATGAAATAACATTCACAATAGAAATAAAAGTTAGAAATTATCCAGCGATTACCCTAAGGTAGAAAACACAAAACCTTGCCAGAGAAAATGTCAAAAGCTCTATTACAGGACACAAAAGAAGATCTGAATAATTGCGGAGATGATGTATTATGGACAAAGAAATGCAATAAAGGTGCAGCTGTCTGCAGGGCAGTCCATAAATTCAGTCAATGGTAAGCAGCCAGCTGCATTGTTTGAAACTAAAAAAATAGCTGCATTGTTTGAAACTAAAAAAATAAAATGAAATACATATGCATAAAAGGTTCATTAATAGCTAGGTAAAGTTTTAAAAGCAGAAGGAGACTCACTCTACTCTATATTAGACCATGTGACAAGTTCATAGCAAAAACCAAACGGAGAGCCAGAGAGATGGCTCAGTGGCGTAGGTGCTTGCCTGGCAAGTGTAAGGTCCTGAGTTTGATCCCTGGTACCAAAATAAATAAATAAATAAAAAAGAAATTGATATGGTAATAATATGATAGACAAAAAGAATAATGAATAGAAAATATAGCTCTGAAAGATACTCGTGTTTGTTTGGAGATTTATTTTTGTTACAAGATAAAGCTGTCATCATTCAGAAAAGGTAGTGGGGTTGAGGAAGGGAAAGAACAGACTTGCAGACTTATCAACTCAGGCCTGGTGAACTGTGGCTTGTGGGTCAAGTCTAGCCTGCAACTTGTTTTTGTATGACTCTTAGGCTAAACTGTTTTTTTATTTTTAAGTGGTTAAGAAAAATAAAATAATACATGAATCAAAAGGAAATGTCAGCGGGGCATGGTGGCTCCTGTCTGCAATGCCAGCTGCTTGGGAGGCTGAGGCAGGAGGAGCAAAGTTTAAGGCCAGGCTGGAAAATTTAGTGAGATTGGGGGACAACCCTTTTGGGATCCCCCTCCTGTCCCTCTTTCAGATAGGAGCTCTCTTTCCCTCAATAAATATATTCTGCTCATAAAAAAAGAAAAGAAAAGAAAATTTAGTGAGACTCAGTCTCAAAAATAGAAAGTTGGGAATATAGTTTAGTATAGAGTGCTCCTGGCTTCCATACCCATTAAGGAAAAAACAGAAAAACCTCAAGGGAAATTAAAATGTATTTGTCACTAAGTGAAAATTGAAATACAGCTTGTTAGAAATCGTGAGAGGGGCTGGTGAGATGGCTCAGTGGTCTAAAGCACCTACTTAGAACAAGCTTAGCAAAGCACAGGCACAGGGACCGCGTTTCAATACCCAGCACCACATGCCAGCCAGCCCCGCCCCCTGGTGGGCTGAGCTGCCCCCCCCCACACACAAATAAATAAAATTAAAAAAAAAATCGTGAGAGCAGTAAAAGCAGCAAGGGAAATTTATGGCGTAGAATTCAAAGAAGAGCAAAGTTATAAAATGAATTCTTCAAATTATTTAAACTTTCATCTTAAAAATTAGAGAAACAAGAACAAATTAAATCCAAAGTAAGCAAAAAGAAAAAGTCTTTAGAAAATCAATGAATTTGAAAGCAGGAAATCAATAGAGAAGATTGACAGAAAGGTGGCTCTTTGAAGAGATCAATAAAATCAGCCTTTAACCAGGATAAGAGAAAAGAGAGAAGACACATGTCACTAATGTTCAGAAATGAAAGAGGGGACACGGCTTCAGGTTCTGTGAGCATTAAAGGACAACAAAAATATTAGGGACAACTCTGTTTGCATGCCAATTTGAAGACCTAGATGACGTGGACTGGTTCCTTCCAGCAAACTGGTTTTTGTGCGTCCCTCAAAGCTTGCTCATTGAGACTTAATTCCTCACTGCAGCAGCTTTAGGAAGTAGGGCTTAGCGGAAGGCGTTGGGGCCATGGTGGCGGAGTCCTCACCAATACGGGAATGGCTTGTTGATCCCAGAGAATTTGGCACGCTTTTCTCTTCTAGTATATGGCTGCTGCTGCTGCTTCTTACCATGGGTTGCAGCAGCACACATCTTCACCAGAGGCTTGGAAGATACAAGTACCAGGCTGCTTAACTTTCCAGTCTTGAGAACAGCAGCCCAAATAAATCTTCTTCACTTCATAAATTACTGAGTCTCAGGTATTCTGTTATTGCAAGAGAAAATGAAGCAAGATGACAAATAGCTACAATACCCGAAAATGGGCATGTGCCTTTGCTCTGGGTGATGGTGTAGCCTGCACAGTTGTGGAGAAAAGGCTGAAAACAATCATACATTTCTCCAAACAGATCACTTAGGGCAGTTCTGAGGAGCGCTCAGAAAAAGGCAAGAAGGTCAGAAAAGCATGGAACTCAGCTATTTCTCAAGTGATTGTGCCCAGAACGTAGATAGAGATGTGGACAGTAAAGAGTTTGCTGGGGAGGCCTTGAAGGAAACGAGGAATGTGGAACAGGGAGCTGGAGTCAAGGGCAGCCTTGTTATGTAGCTGAGAGGAAGGTGGCTGCACGGTATCCAGGTTATGGACTGCAGGGAGTGATGATGAGTCTGTCTGGTGGAAGAAATATCTAAGGAGCAAAACACTTAAGCCACAAGGTTATCTTTAACTGCTTACAGAGATACAGTAGCAAGGGAAGGGCTAAGGGTGGAATTTTTAATTAATAGGGAAGCACATTTTTAAAATTCAAAAAATTAACACCCTGGCCATGGAAAGAGTGAAAAAAATCATGTCTGACAGAGAATGCTAAGCGTGAGGCCCAGGTACTGTTTGTTATAGAAACCACAATAGACAGAAGGGAGCCAGATAATATTCACCTGAACAATGGGAAGAAGGCCTCAAATATGCTTCAGAAACCTTTGAGGCTGCTTTTCTCATCATAGGCTGAGAGGCTTGGGGAACAGAGTGGTTTGGGGAAACTGACCTGCCATGAGCTTGTAGCTCAGGGTCACCTCGGACTCTGATCCCTGCCATCAGTGTAGTGCTACGCAGGAGCTGTAGCTTCAGCAGCCCGGGAATGGCCGTGGTTACAGATCTGCAGCAGTCAACCCTGGCAGCACCATGCTGTGCCTCAAGTGAGCTCAGAGGTGCTGCTCTGAAGGACACAACCACTGAACCCCAATGTTGTCCACAGCCCACACCCCACTGCCCGTGCTAATGCTGCAGGTGTGTAGAATGCAAGAGCGATAAAGACATGGAGGCCCTCACCAAGAATTCAACAGATATAATGAGTTGCCAGAGAGAGACACACACACACACACACACACACACACAGAAACCTGCCATAGGGAAGGAGCTAGCACAGTGACCCCACCAGGTCATTATCCAGTGGAGCTGCAGCAGTGGAAGTACTGCTTGACTTTCAAAACAGATAAACCGCTGGTAGTATGCAACCCAGGCACCAGTGTCCGACTGCACTGGGAGAGCTGCCATTATAGGGGCTGGTGGCTCTCACTTGGGTTAGTTTTATCAAAAGAAGCTCTAGTTTAGC